GTCATGCAGAAGGGATTTTTTTAAAAATGTAGAGTAGAAAATAAAAATATGGATGTGTCAGTACTTAGATTGTACAGAATAATAGGAAAGACAATACAGTTTGGAGACATAATGTCTATTAGCCACAGTGACCAACTTTCTGACATAACTCCTAGCAAAATGCACATTCCACTGGTCTCATTTGTCATTGATATACCTCCACACACAAATCTCTGGCAGTTCCTAAGGTGTTTAATTGGCCATTGTCCCTTGATTTCAACTTTCTCTTGATTCCTAGAATCTTACTCTCTCAGGCATCTTTAGATGCCTCTAGGTGGCAACTCTAGAGGGTGGATTTCTGCTTGGTCTCTAGGTGGCAACTCTAGAGGGTGGATTTCTGCTCCGCTCTTCCTTTGCTGGTGCATGAGCCTCTTTATAGGTAAATACTGCCTGCCTTGACTTGACTCAGCTACTCATCTGACCTAGGAAATCTATCTTGGGATTTTATTTAAACCTTATGAAATGATAAAATTTCATGGCTAAATCCCCAGAGGAGTCCTGAAGCTCAACTAGCAGGGAGAAAGCAGGGACCGCAATGTGTTTCTCTCCAAAGATGACATTCCCTCAATCTACAGGTTGTGCTGACTTGTACACATAACACCAGGAAATCAAATGTGGTTTGCTAATCTCATATTTCTCCCATCCTGCTTCTTATTCAAAGACCTAGCTCATATTTAAAGGAAGCAGGATAACAAAATGGAGAATGTTACAAACTGGAAGCTTGTAGACCAAATTTTAATTCATATTATTAGTAATAGTTGTCTCCAACACATGGTGAATTCGAGCCTCATACTTTTCAAAACCTACCATCACAGAGAAGATTGCCTTTGAGGTAAACTATAAAGAAAAGACAAGATAGACTCTGCTGTCGAATTTGTCATTGGAGCTCAACAACCTACAATAGATGGTCACCAGGAAGAGACTAGAGAGAAAAGTGGAGAGAGGGGCTTTGTGTTTTCTTAAAGATACTAGGTCTTAAATATTTAGAAAGTTTTCAAGTAAAAATTGTGGCAGTATTAACAGTTGAGTATCAATGAAAACAAAATATTGAGAAGGGATAAAAAGACTGAGTTTAAAAATTAAAGTTTAAAATTAAACTTAGTTTAATTTTAACTTTAACCACAGTGAAAGTTGAGCCTTAGGGAGGGCAAAGCCTTAAAATGCAATTAAAGAATTAGATTGTGTGCCTTTTACCTATTTGAGACTGAAAGATGCCACTTCTTTGATTTAGATATTTTGAGTATCATCACCCAACTTCTGAGCTCCAGGGGAAAAATAGACAATACAAATGAGAAATTTGTTATTGTCAGAATTTGAATATGGAATGCCTAAAATTTGATCTCAGGATTAGAAATGAGTAGTTGTCTGTCTTTTCTTCATCTTAACAAGAATAAAATCTAATTTCCATATATATTTTTTATATATAAATATATGTATAAAAATAATGGTTCCTCTGTGAAAATAAGTAGATTTTTTGTTTGTTTGTTTGTTTGTTTTTGAGATAGAGTCTCGCTCTGTTGCCCAGACAGTGGCATCATCATACATCATACATCATACAGTGGCATCATCATAGCTCACAGCAACCTCAAACTCCTGGGCTTAAGCAATCCTCCTGCCTCAGCTTCCTGAGTAGCTGGAACTACAGGCATGCACCACCACACCCGGCTAATTTTTTCTATATTTAGTAGAGACAGGGTCTCGCTCTTGCTCAGGCTGGTCTCAAACTCCTGAGCCCAAGAGATCTTCCTACCTCACCCTCCCAAGTTGCTGGGATTACAGGTGTGAGCCACTATGCCCAGCCCAGATCAGATGTGTTTTTTACAGGACATCTATTTGTGGTCTCAAAGATACAGCTACTGGGATTATTTCATATATTTTAAATTACAGCTTATAAAGATGACAAAATTTTTTTCTTTTTTTTTTTGGAGACGGAGTCTTGCTCTTTGTTGCCCAGGTTAGAGTGAGTGCCGTGGTGTCACCCTAGCTCACAGCAACCTCAAACTCCTGGGCTCAAGCGATCCTTCTGCCTCAGCCCCCCAGAGTAGCTGGGACTACAGGCATGCGCCACCATGCCCAGCTAATTTTTTCTATGTATATTAGTTGGCCGATTAATTTCTTTCTATTTATATTAGAGACGGGGTCTCGCTCTTGCTCAGGTTGGTTTCAAACTCCTGAACTCAAACGATCCACCCACCTCAGCCTCCCAGAGAGCTAGGATTATTTTCCATTTTAATACATCTGTTTCTTATACTCTTGTTCTCCTAGATTTCTCCTATTATGTGATGGAATTTATCAGTGATAAATCAACACTCAAAAGTGAACAGACGTGACAGTTGATAGAAAGAAAAGTGTTTAAGAGTTAAAATTAAAACACTAGGCAGTAACAGTACTGAAATTGAATTGGTATACTATTTAACTACTTTGAAATTATACCTCTGCTTCCACAGCCCAAAGTGGTCACAGATACAGATGAGACTGAACTTGCGAGGCAGCTGGAGAGGCTTGAAAGAGAAAATGCAGAAGTGGATGGAGATGATGATGCAGAAGAAATGGAAGCCAAAGCTGAAGATTAACCTTGTTGGAAACAGTCCAATTTAAGTAACACAGAGCAGCCCTTCCTCCTGGCTGTAAACCCTAGACTCAAAAGTTTTCCAGTATTGAAAACTTCAAAGCTAAATATTTTTTATTTCCAAGTATTTAAATGTTCTAACAGACCAGAACATGAAACGCCCTCTTAAATGTCAGCTGTTTTCACACAGTAGCTCCAACACATTGAACAATTTTTAAGAGAGTGGCCTAATTTCACTAGAGACAAATCTTTAAGAACAGTCCTAAAATTGGGCTTGTGATTTCCATTTCTGATGTCTCCAGATTGACACCCCTTTGTAGTTCAGTGCCCCCATGAGATTTACCAGGGGCACCCAAAGCAAACAATTCCAGTCTTTCTATATAAAGTGTATTCAAGCAAATATCAAATAAATTTCTGGGATATTTAACTATAGGCTTCTTCCTTCTCGTCACCAGTTAAAAGCATTCTGAATACTAAGACCCTAACTGTATTATCTTCGTTTTAGTCTTTATGTAAATAAGGGAAGGTGAATAAAGGATCTCTACAACAGATCCTTTCAAAAGGAGAGTTTAGAAAGAAAAAAGAGTTTAGAGAAAGTCATTTTAACTTTAACCACAGTGAAAGTTGAGCCTTAGGGAGGGCAAAGCCTTAAAATGCAATTAAAGAATTAGATTGTGTGCCTTTTACCTATTTGAGACTGAAAGATGCCACTTCTTTGATTTAGATATTTTGAGTATCGTCACCCAACTTCTGATTGGTTCTTTTTTTAGAACAGAGATCTGTTTGGATACAGCTACAGCAGTTTTTTGGGTTTTTTTTACATGTTTCCATAATTTTTATCTTCAAGAACTAGTTACTTTGTACATAATAAGTTTCATAGGTAACACATTTGAAGTTACAGGTACAGTAGTAGTCAGGTGTAGAAAATCTTTTTTGTTACTTTGCTTTTCTTCCTACTCTCTTACGATACTTGAGGTACCAGTTATATTTAATTTTATTCGTCATCCCTAGGATAGCTATTAAAATACTTAAAGATTAAAGCTAACCCACCTTAGTCATCCAGGACTAGACTTAATTAATATTAAAGGGACTAGCAAATAGAAGAGTATTGGGGAGATAGTCTGTGCCATTTATGAAAGTTTGTCCCTTTAATTTAGTAGCCTGTATTAGCTTTTAAATCCAAAAGTCTAAATTCAGATGGCAAAGTTTCCTAGAGGGAGCCGTGATTATTAGCCAAGAAGGGAATATTTAGAGAATATGGATGTACTCAAGATTGGCACATAGTTTTTACCTCTTTAGGCATCAAAAAAAGTTTATAAAGCTCATGACATCAAGAATGTCACCAAAATATAACAGGTGCTTCTTTGCCATAGGCAGAGGAATTGAATTTTTTTCTTTTTTGTTTACTGAAATTTTATACTTCAGAAGCCATAACTTGAGAAATCCTGGTGGCTTCCATGGTGAGTGATTTTTACCCCATGTGGGCCTTTTGCTCAATTTCATGACAGTTTTGTAAATTGATAATCTTAGCCAGAGTGAGGATCAGTACTTCACTGATAACCTGAGGAAACTTAAAGCACAACACATACACCTTTCAGGAATGATTTACATACCAGGACATGATGCACATACAGCTCTGAACAACTTGAGAAATAGGATTGACAAAGAATTGAATAGCTTATCCACTGTATCTCCCACCAAAGCCTTTTCATTAAAAATGTTGGCAATTTTATCTCCTACTGCCCACTCTGCCTGTGATTGAGGCCAGGTGGTTAACAACTCATATAACTGAAAACTACCCATAGTTTGGGTCTCATTTTTGCATAAATTGAAAGTCAATAATGGCTGGGAGGAAATAGGAACATTCAAACCATTTTGCAGATCAGTTTTATAGCAAAACAAGAAACCAATTATGTGGATAATGGTTGAACACTTAACGGGAGCTACAGAGACATGCTAAGGATCTGCATCACACAAAGCAGAACAGGTTATTACTCAGCTGCCATACTACAACCATTCATGACCTAGCTACTTTACACCAAGAACAAAACAAACTGGGTTTGTTGGTGTTTAACAGAGACAGAGTCTTGCTCTATCACCCAGACTGGAACTCCTGGGCTCAAGCAGTCCTGCCTCAGCCTCCCGAGTAGCTGAGACTATACTGGCTAATTTTTTTTGTAGTAATGCGGGTCTCACTACATTGCCCAGGCTGGTGTCAAACTCCTGGCCTCAAGTAGTCCTGCCTTGGCTTCCTAAAGTGCATGAGCCACCATACCTGGCCAATTTTTAAAAATCCAAATGCCAGTACCTTGCCAAGACTTGTTCACTGATTTGCCTCAAGGTGATAGTCACTTACTTTCCAACCCATGGAGATCTGGTATCTCCCAAAGTGAGGCACATTTGTGACAGTTTGGAGGTGGGAAGCCATCAAACCAAATGCAATTTAATTCCTATAACACCTGTTGATACTCAAAAAAGCAAAAAAACTATTTCCAGGGACATTAGACCCTGTTAAAATGCCAAATGGAAAATGGTGCTTTAAAAGGTAGTCTCTTCGAATATAAGGAATTAGTAAAACATTAGCTTGGAATTCCTAATCATTCTGGTTAGGTATGATAGACAAGATTAACAGGAGACAGTTTATTTAAGAGGACACATTTTTACTTAAGCACTTTGGAAGTATCCATTTCCCTTAAATGTAAGTTATGTATTTTATCTATTCATTAAAAGAAGTCCAAGTACTTATACTTGGCAAGAATGCTGGCAATAGCTTGTGCCAGATTACTGTATAAACTTGAAAGTAATAAAAATGTTCTTTAAAAATATTGTATGATACAGATTTTTCACTACTTAAGATTAACCTCCTAACTGGTGGTGTTTCTTGGTACCTATTTGTCTTACTCAGTTAATGTTCATTTTAAAACCAAAATTTAATGCCTTGATTTCATTTTCTCATTTACATCTTTCTCTGTCCTTACATCTTCTAAATGCCCATTTTTCATAGAAAGAAAAATGGGCCTTTTTTTTTTTTTCATGTGTGTGACTAATTTCTCCAACTGAATCCCTGACTTCTTTTCTGCAATGTATATACTTATGCAGGCTTTCTTTCCAAAGCAAAACAGTATTCTCTGCATGTTAAACCAAAGTTTTGCCACCATCCCTACTCTAAGATGAAGTATGTGTCTTAGTGACAGAAATACTTGAAATGTTTCTTGAAAACTATAAAACTTAGGATTCTAATAGCCAGAAACAAATGTCAATTTTTATTAATAACAAAGGAGTTAAGAGTTGTTGATAACTATTTCAGAGAAAGCTGAATGAGAATAGAGTTTTATTTATTTATAATATTACAGTATGGCCAGTTAGAGTTCCAACAAAGGGAATCTACTTTGGTACCTGAGGAAATGGCTATTTTTAATAATGGGCAAATGTCAATATGCTGACGCCTAATGGCTGTTCTTAGCCTTTATCCACTTAGTTGGTAACATGAAGATGGGTAAGGAAATAGCACCACAGCCGTTTGTAATATGAGGAACTTTCAGCTGTCTCACTCCAAAGCAGTACAAAACATACAAAGAAGTTAAAAGTCTTAACACACTTCCATTCTCCAGGAGATCCTGTCTGTATCATCTGGTAGGAGGAGGGAATCCTGGTCTGGTTCCCTCAGGTCCTTGTCATGTTAGCTTTTTGATAGCTTCAATCCACTCTGCTCGCTCTGCCTTGCTGCTGGCCTGGATGTAATAGTGTGTGTCATCCTTAGTAATCACTTTGAAGAGATTTCCCTGGACATTCCCTTTAACCCCTAGCAAAAAATAAAATAAAATCATTGATTGAATATTCCTGTCTGCCTTCAGCTTGAGTCAGCTGAAAGTTAACTGGGATAAAAACAAATATAAAGTATTTCCTAAACACAAAGGTATCTGGTTAGAGAATCCCCCCAGATGTACACTTTCCCCTCTTCCTCCCATTCCCTCTCTCTCGTCAGCGCCTATGTATAGTATGAAGTATAAAATTTCAGCGCCTTAAGGCCTGCAAGTGGTTATGTCTCAACACTCCTGAAGCCCTCTTGCCTGCCCCCTGTACCAGCCACAGATCTACGATTTCGTTCACATCCACAAATCCAGTATATTTACGTTAAACGCGGGCACAGAGGTTGGGGTTTGGCCTCAAATTGTTTCTTTAAACTTTAATTTCCACATCCCTAAGATGGAAATAATACTATCTTCCTACCACAGCTGCCTATTGTGAAGTTAATGTGATAATAAATATTAAAGTATATTGTTAACCCTAGAGCACTGTGGAAGCCCTAACTATTCTCAGGTGGAAGTTTATGGGCCAACAGCACAGAAACTGAAGGGAAAGAATATTGAAGACAAGGGTTATTTAGTTGTAGTCTTAAAACACTAAGAACACACCACAGGCCCTTTCTCTAATTCTGAAATCGCTTCAAAACTCATGCCATTCATTCTCCCCAAGAAAGCCCTGTTGAGCTTCCAAATCTGTCTCTCATCACCGCGGCATTATTGAGGTACAGGCAGGAGGCCCCTGAGATCTTCGACCAGGGCTGGAGTTGCACCTTACCAGTGGGAACACCATTATCCTCCAGAGCAGACACGAGTGAACCACGGAGAGAAAACCCACCCACTGGCCTGTTCTCTTCCTGCAGAGGAAAGGAGACCTAATTAGGAATTTTGCAAATGCACAAAAGAGAAGAGTTGTACCCTCCCCTATAACCACCTTCAGTCAGGCAGCCAAAGAAGTCAGTGCAAGTCATTTGTAATAGAAGATGAAGCTGAACTTGGGCACCATGTAGCCAAGTTGCATGTACCAGTAAGGAAGTTTGGGCTTCATTTCACAGCCAGCAGCAATAGTGCCCACCAATGTTGCTGTTAGCAAGTCTGCAGGACTTAAAAATCAATCTGCTTTTCACTCCTGGAGACTCAGACACAGCCTCTGATCCAACACTGCTCAAAGCATGCACTGGCTTCCCTAAGCCTTGTGTGTATCTTACCAACTAATTAGAATATGTATTTATAGTTATCGCTCCTGCAAAACTGATAGATTCCTGCACATTGAACACCATTATACAAATCTTTAGGATGTGCCTAGCACTTAGCCTTGTATGAAACAAAACTGTGGTCTGTGGTATCTCTGGACTCAGAGCAGTTTTACACACCAGATGTCTCAAGCACCAAGATCCTTTCACTTAATAATCAACTTCATACTGCACAGTGGCCCAGCAAGAAGTAGAGCAAAAAACAAAGCAGCTAAACAACAATCCTGGGAATGATGACACTATTAAATGCCAAAGGAGGAGGAAGGGAGCCACCCCAGCCTGGAGGGTTCAAGGGCAGCCTCAGGAGGGACTGGAGACTTAAGGGGGCCTTAAGAGGTGAGTAAGTCCTAAGGGTTGGAGGGGCACTCAACCCAAAAGGAGGAAGAGCCAGAGCAAAGCCAGGGAGCAAATGATTCGCAGAATGTGTGAACGGTGCTAGGCTGAGGCAGGGGACTCCTCCAGGGCTCAAAGTAGGTTGGGCTGGACTTTGGTGAGAGTTAAATGCAAAACTGAAGTGTTTATTTCATTCATTCATTTAATTTTTTTCCTTGCTTCCAAAAGGATTTGAAGTAGCCAGAAGAGAGCTTGACCTCTATCCTGTGGCCCAGTAACCATGACCCTGAAGAGGTCAACCGGTTCCTTCTGGAGGCCCAGGTGGTTGACCCCCAGATGGCCCTCTGTGGCCTGGTTGGGTCCTAGGGGCCTCTATCACCTGATCTCAGCTTAGGGTAGGAGTTACTGACTAAAGCTAGGTGAGGGGGGAACTGCCCACTTGTCACTGTTTCAAAACTAGTGAAAATCATGTCTACTAAGACAAGGCTGAACAGCTCAACTGAAAGACCATTTTCCTTGTTTTGACTGGAATTAGATTAACTTAGTATATGGTAATATTTATTATCAGAAACTCAGAATAGCAATTTTGTGATCAATTAAACAAAACAAGAAAATTAGTAAGTTATGGCTTAAATATTATATGGTAAAAGAAACGTTTCAAAACATAGGTGGGGGCTGGGCATGGTGGCTCATGCCTATAATCCCAGCACTTTGGGATCACAAGGGAGACCAAGGCAGCAGGATCCCTTGAGGCCAGGAGTTCAAGACCAACCTGAGCAACATAGTGAGACCCTGTCTCTACAAAAAAAAAATTTTCTACAAAAATTTTTTTAAAAATTAGCCAAACATGTGGCACACACCTGTAGTCCCAGCTACTCAAGAGGCTGAGGTGGGAGGATCGCTTGAGCCCAGGAGTTCCAGGTCACAGTGAGCTATGATCTCACCACTGCACTCCAGCCTGGGCTACAGAGTGAGACCTTGTCTCTAAAAACAAAAAGCACAGGTGGGGACAAGAGGTTGAGGGAAGCAGAATTAATGGGATATTCAGAAAAGTGTGAAGAGGGTGGGAAATGCCAGGTAGGAGTCTCACCGTCAGCCCACCTCACCCTATTCACAAAGCAGGTTCTGAGGAAACTAGAAGATGTTTTTCCTCTGAAAGTGGTGAAGACCTCCTCCCCTAGGAAGTGGGGCACAGAAGAAACCACTTAAGAATCAAGCGACTATGTGATGAAGGGAAAGAGTAGCTCAGACTGCAGAAGGAAGGAAGGAAAGGCCTAGTGCAGCAGAGTTACAGGAGGGAGCTGGGGGAAGGGAGGCAGTATGGGCAGCGGCCTGCTGTGCTGGAAGAGGGGCATCTGGGAGCCTCAGTGTGGCACCCAGTGGGCATGTGCCACTCACTTTGGAAGGGTCGTAGTAATGCAGGAAAGCTGGATCCTTCCTCAGAACAAAGCGACGGACCTTCCAGTTTTTCCTCTTGTGCCCCTGAAGCAAAAAAAGGGTTCAAGGCTCATTGGTGACAACTGTACGTCCCTTCTTCCCACTTCCATGCATCTAATGCCAAACCCAAACAAGCCATCCTACTCCAATGGGACTACATTCTAACACCAGTCTAACACCAGGAAACTCCGGGATTGCAATGACATGTCACAGACTTCCTTGACATCATCCCCTGCTCAGTGACACTTTAGCAAAAACACCAAGATGTTCAGTCAAGTCACCAAAGCCAAGGAGAGTTGGTGCCAAAGGAAAGGGGCACATCACCCGGATGCCACTCAGGGCATACAGGAGAAGGACAAGGAGGAAGCAGGTGTCCATTGGACTGGGAGCTCACAAGCAAACTCGAACCCAAGGGTACCAGCTTTTTAAGGGTCAATTTTAGTCCTAAACCAAGCCCACGGCTGCATGTATATTTGTGTGCCTTATGTGTGTGCCCGTGCATACAGTAAAACCACTTTAACGTTGTGTATTTGAAAAAAGTGATGATTATATAATAAAATCTACATGTGCAAGATACTGACGTGTGTGTGAGAGAGACAGAGAGATAGAGGGAGACAGAGAGAGAGAGATTGAGACTTTCTTTGATCTCATGCCCTAGATCACAAATCTGTTAGTCTGGAACACTCTGAGTTCCCCCTGTGCCCTCCTCAGGCTCTCCCGGGGGCATCTCCACCTACCGCAGTAAGGACCCCCGTCAGGCCCAGCAGAAGCAGGGCGCTGGGGGCAGACAGGCAGCTGTGTGGATGGTAACCGTCTAAGAGCAAGTGGGGATCCTAATACCCAAGTGGTGGTGACGACAACAGACACACACATTCACGTGGTACATAACATGTGCACAGACACAAGGGCGCTTCCTGTGCCAGGGCCATGGCGATTTGTTCACAGAATACCCTTTTTGTTAGGCAGGAGCAGAAAACCCACAGCGGTGACTGGGACATGGTTGCCTCCAGGGTAGGAGTAGTAGCCATGGTCAGTTTTTAAACACTAAATTTCCACTGCAAAATCTGATCTTCAACCTACCCATGTGGGCATAGAAAATAACTATCTTTAGTTCAGGAAGTGTATCAAGGGGGTGTGCAGAGTGTCACAAAGGAAGGCAGAGACCCCAGGAAGCAGAGGGGCAACAAATGCAAAACATTATGCCAAGCCCGGGCACAGTGGCTCACACCTATAATAGGATTCTGGAAGGCTGAGGTAGGAGGATCACTTGAGGTCAGGAGTTCGAGACCAGCCTGAGCAAGAGCGAGACCCTAAAAAATTAGCTGGGTGTCGTGGCGCATGTCTGTAGTTCCAGCTACTGGGAAGCTGAGCTTGAGCTCAAGAATTTGAGGTTGCTGTGAGCTAGGCTGACGCCATGGCGCTCAGCACTCTAGCCTGGGCAACAGGGCGAGATTCTGTCTCAAAAAAAAGAAAAAGAAAAAACCATCAAGCCCATCAGCAACATCCTCCAAGACAAATACATGAAACTGTGCAATTCTGCAGAAGTTGTGTTTTGATGTGATAATTACATGCGTGTACATTTTCCCTGAATAACCCATGTGTCTGGTACACATCTATGTGTGAGTGGGCACGTGCATGTTCTTTGATTTGCTCCAGGTGGCTGGCACTGGGCTCCTGCTTTCACAGATGCTGTTGGTAACTGGTGCCCTCCAGCAGTCTCAGCCCTTCCCTCCCTCTGGGCTCATTCCTCTCTCCCCAGAGTTTGAGAGCTGCCCATCTCAAGGCAGCCATACCTGCTTGGCCAGATAGCCTTGTTTCACCACCATGCCACTTAGCTCCATAGTGCTGAGACTCATTTCTTCCTTGGGGCTTATTTTCTTCTTGTAGCTCTCAGCCTAGTGGGAAGGAGACAGGAAGACTCTGTTCCAGAAAAGACCCAGGCCCAGGCCATGGGGACTGCCAGAGGGGAAAGGAAATTCCTTACTACAGACACCCCACTGCACTTCGGGATGAAACTGGCCCCCAACCCCTAGGCCTCTCCCCATGACTGTGGGCCCCCTACCCTGCTCTGTTACCTCCTCCTTCCCGCTGCCCTGGTGGCAAAAGGAACCCACTCCCCAACTTACAAAAGTGTACAGGGCAGTAGAGTCATCCAGAAACTGCTCAGCCAGATCCCCAGAGCGAACAGCTCCCAGGCTTCGGACACCCACTGGCCGGAGGAAATTCTCCTCCATGAGCATGGAGGCCAGAGTCACCGCCTCCAGACGGCTGGCTGCGAAGCTGTTGGAGATGAGCCAGTCCACCAGGGAGGAGCCTGGCCCAGGGCAGCACCAGTCAGACCACAGGCTATAGACCAGGGTGCTTGCTCAATGACCTCATTGACCTTGACCTCCTGGGTAGCCTCTGGGCTCTACCCAAGAGCAGACTGAAGGCCACGCTGCACTGAGCTATGGCTGCACCCACGTGCAGCCATCCCAGAGCAGCCTGTTGCCCAGCAGGCGGCTCTGGCCTCAACACAGGCTGGTCAAGCACATGGCTGAACCATGGATCGCCACAGCCCAAGTCTCTACTGCCCAGCCCGGCCCCTGGCGGGGCAGGCTCACCTAGGAAGGTCTTTTTGTAGGTGCTTCCCTGCTCCATGTTGGGGCTTGAACGGATTCCGCTGCTGCTGTCGTGCATCTTGTCCACAATGCGACTACACGGGAGGAAAGGCAAAGGAGAAGGGACTCTCATCACATTGACAGGTGCAAAGGAGGGTCCAAGAGTCACTGCTAAGGGTATAAATCAAGTGACAAACAGTGTGGTACACACCACAAAGAAAGGGGGCGTTGCATGGCGAGAGTGACGCCATCTCGAAGGAAAACCATCCTGTTGACCAATGTTTGACTCCTACATACCAAGGTGCTCCCATAGCATAGACAACCCTTCATAAAGAAACAACGCCCGTAGCACAGATACTCCCATAAAGATGTTTATCTAACTTCCCCAGTAGTCAGGAGTTTCACAAGAAAATCTGACCAGCTGCATATGTTTTCCCAAACAAGCTCCCAAACAAGCTTACTATATGAAGGATATTTTCTAGGGATGGCTGCAGGGATGTACCGTCTCTTGGCTGCCAGAAACATCGCTTCTGTTTGTAAATCCTATTAAATGTTTCTTTATGAGAAACTGGATGTGTCAGCCTCTTTCTTCAACCTCTCAGCTCCCTCAGCCTTTGGGGTAGTTTGCATACACTTGTTGCTGCAGAATAGGAGGTATTCGGTTATGCATCAGGATGTGAGAGGCAGGCTTTTTCAGGCATTTCTTATGCTTGGTCATCTAAATGTTCTAATTCTGTTGTAAGACTAAAGAGCTGGGAGTTTTAACTTAAAAACAAGAGTGTACAGTAGTCCACAAGATTCTCTAAGATCTACTGCATTAAGTCCAAACCCCTCCAGCTACTTCTCAGAGCATATTTGAATCCACCTGCCTACCCACCCTTATCTGCAGCTGTTCCTCCCCCACACACACCCCCACCCTCGAGTTCAGCAGCTTCCTAGACCCACAGAAGGTGTACAGTCAAGGCTTCCATGCCTGGTATGGAGCTTCTATGAGCCCAGAAATGGACTCGAACCATGTCTTTGATGAATGTAACAGTTCTGCTGCCTGGGAGTTCAGGGGGTGTTTCCCGCAGACAGAACAGTTTCTGTGATGGGGACTCCTTTCACATACCCCTACTTTACAGTATCACCTCCACCACTGACAAGCTTTCCTTCTGCTCTGTGGGACAACGACGGCCACCAATGGAAGATCTTTCCTTATTTCCTATTCATGTACTTGGGCTGGAAAGCCACTGAGGTGAGACCTTGTTTATTCCTGTCACATCTGCTGAGACCTCGCATAGTGCATGGCTTGCATGGCACTAAATAGCAGTGTCTTGAATGCATGAATGAGGAACCCCACCAAGCAAGAAGGCAACTGCTACCAGAACACATCATTCCTGCCACCAGGCAGCAAGCAAGGCCAATGACTTGGTTGGTAGCGATTTGCTACAGTTTGAATGTTTGTCTCCTCCAAAACTCATGTTAAAACTTAGTCCCCAGTGTGGCAGGATTGAGAAGTGGGGCCTTTAAGAGGTGACTGGGTCATGAGGCCTCTGCCCTCATAATGGATTAATGGAGTAAATGGGTTAATGGATTAACGGACTATCATGGGAATGGGACTCATGGCTTTATAAGAATAGGAAGAAAGATCTAAGTTAGCACGCTCAGCCTCCTTGCCATGTGATGCCCTGTGCCATATCGAGCAAGAAGGTCCTGACCAGATGCAAACCCTAGATCTTGGACCTCTCAGTCACAATAACTATAAGAAACAAATCCCTTTTCTTTGTAAGTTACCCAGTTTTAGGTATTCTGTTATAAGCAACAGAAAGCAGACTGAGAGAAATCGGGGGGTGGGGGGGGTGGAGCAAGATGGCGGACGAATAACACCGCCAGACAGAGTGTCTCTGCAGAAAAGAGAAAAATGGCTCAACATCTCTAATCATCAGGGAAATGCAAATCAAAACCACAATGAGATATCACTTAACCCCAGTGAGAATGGCCTTTATCAAAAATCTCCAAACAATAAATGCTGGCGTGGTTGCGGAGAGAGAGGAACACTCCTACACTGCTGGTGGGACTGCAAACTTTCAACCTCTGTGGAAAGCAATATGGAGATACCTTAAAGCGATACAAGTGAATCTACCATTTGATCCAGCAATGCCCATTGCTGGGCATCTACCCAAAAGATCCAATGACACTCTACAAAAAAGACACCTGCACTCGAATGTTTATAGCAGCACAATTCATAATTGCAAGGCTGTGGAAACAGCCCAAGTGTCCATCAATCCAAGAATGATTAATAAATGTGGTATATGTATACCATTGAGTACTATTCAGCTCTAAGAAACAATGGTGATATAGCACATCTTATATTTCCTGGTTAGAGCTGGAACCCATACTACTAAGTGAAGTTTCCCAAGAAGAAAACAAGCACCACATATATTCTCCAGCAAACTGGTATTAACTGAGTAGCACCTAAGTGGACACATAGGTACTACAGTAATAGGGTATTGGGCAGGTGGGAGGGGGGGAGGGGGGCGGTATATACATACATAATGAGTGAGATGTGCACCATCTGGGGGATGGTCATGATGAGACTCGAACTCAGACTTTGGGGGGGGGGAAATGGCATTTATTGAAACTTAAAATCTTTACCCCATACATATGCTGAAATAAAAAAAAAAAAAACGAAAGCAGACTAAGCAAGACAGCACCTGGGTGAAACAGAAGGAGGTCTCATGCGCTCATGGAGGCCAACAGAAGCAGCAAGGGCCCAAAAGATTCACCAGAGGAACAGGACAGTTAGATAGAGCCATTCCCAGGCTGAATTCCGAACACAGTGGTGGCACAGTCAGTGCTGTGCAGCAGCACAGAGCCCCCCAGAAGGGTCGTCCCCCTTCCCACGTGCTACACGCAGGCGAGGACAGGCTGCAGCAAAGCCCAGGTAGGGGCAGAGGCAGGGCACTCACCTGCAGCTGATGTGGCAGGGAGCAGCTTGACGGAATTTTCTCAATACAGTGGAGTTGCTGGACCTTCCCCGCCTGTGCCTGCGTGAATAGCTCCTGGTTATATCAAAGGCCAGGCGTCCCTGTCCTCTCGAGAGCAGGCCTCCCAGGAAGTACTCCGTGGATGTTCGCGTCTCAGCTTAATGCATGAGCCTGGTGGATGAGACAGCCAGCCTCAAGAGACGCCAGGCAAGAGAGTTGGACAGCAAAACAAAAGGGTTCTTGCGAATCTAGAGACTGTGCAAGTCCAGAGACCACCTAATGCCCTGACCCTCCAACCACACCCACAGCAGGTGGCCTTTAAAATTCGCTTGGACACTACAGTGACAGGAAGCTCACGGCCTCACGAAGCAAGCCTTTCTCTTTTGGACAGAGTAGGTAGTGTAAGGGACTTGGTCCTGGAGATCTGGTTCCTGATCTGTCTCCTAGACCACACAGAAAAGTTCTCACCTGCCTATGACTTAGAACCACATAGATGGAGTCTCACCTCTGTGACACCCCTGTGCCGCAGTGGAAATGCCCAGGCTTTTTAAAGTCAGACTGACATAAACCTGAACACAAACCCCAGCTCTGCCGCTTAGCTATGATGCCAGTTTTCCCATCTGTGAAACAGGGATAGTTGAAATGCCACCTTGAAAAACTATTAGCTATTCTCCCTTTGATTTCTTTCTTGCATCTAAGCATCTGCAAGTTTCCCCATACTCCTCATATGATATAGTTTAGTGGCCTTCCAAACCAGTTCTCTCTGACTAAATGTTCTGCACTTGGGCAACGTTCTCATAAAACACAACCCGTGGCAGTGCTTCAGCCTGGGATCTCACATTTTGTTAAGGCCGAGGTGGGGAGGATAGTCTTAGGGCAGGAATTTGAAGACCAGCCTGGGCAACACAGCGAGACGCTTGACTCTACAAAAATAAAAGAGTTAGCCAGGACATGGTGGCACATGCCTGTGTCCCAGCGACTCAGGAGGCTGAGGTGGGAGATTCACTTAATGCCCTAGGAGTTAAGGATACAGTAAGCTATGATCCATCATATACTTGCCAGCTTGGTGACAGGAGTGAGGATTTCCCCCCCCGTCCTCTGAAGAAAACAAAACAAAAATACATCCATGGGGGGAAAGAAAATGGGAACACATCTGGGCTCGCAGGAAAAGTCTGAGGGTAGCACAGTGTAGCATGGCTGGCACAGCCCAGTGCTCGAATTAGCATGGGCCAGCTACCGGGCAGTGGTAGACTCACACTCCATCCATTCAGTAGAGACCTTGTTTCATTGTAGGCCATCGGTCTCTTATCTTTTAAATGTACAGTTTATGGTTTGGGGGGACCAGTTTTGGTAATATTTTGCCACCCCTGAACCCTATTAATGGTCATCTGAGAGACT